AAACATTAAGTACAAACATTAATTGTTCCAAATTAAGCATGATAAAAAGATTGTCAGTTAACAAACTTAATCCATACTACTCCGCAATGTCCAATAATTGACATAACATATCATATATGTAAACCAATTATTTCAAAACAACTATAACAGAAAAATAGACGTTCACAGGCTTATTTTTATAACACTTGAACTTAATTTAAAACAAATCATCCATGAGAATTGCTATCATAAAAGTAAGCACTATAAAATCCTTTCTTTCCGGAAACCGTAAACCGACTATATTCCAAATAATCATACTATATTATATATATCCACATGCTTATTTTTAACACTAGGATAGCTTTAACTGTAAATTTTACTACTAAGAATTGATATCCTAAACTTTAAGCAATGAGAAACCCTTTCATCCAGAAAAGTAAATTAATTTACTTAGCCTTTGCTTATCGTTGCATTAAACAAAGTCACTCTATTTTACATAAATCTTTCTCAAGGATTTTAATCAAGCTTAGATCACCTCTAAACACCCCAATATAGCTTCCAACAGAAACTGAAAATTCCAAAATCCAAGTTTTGTATCCCACGGAGTCGCAGAAACACTAAAAACACACACACCCGAGGGAAGAGGCTGCTCTACCCAAAAGAAGAGCCTGCTCTTCTTATCTTGGAGTCGGATCTCCTAGCCTTGGAGGTGGCTCCAAGACCCCTTAGAGCCGGCTCTCCTTAAATGAGAGCCTGCTCTTTGACTCCAAGAGTCGTCTCTCCTATGTTCCTTCATCTTCTCCACGTCCGGTGAATTTCTGAGGAACTGTCTTCCAATTCTAAGGTTCTTAGATGTTTAAACTAAGTTTCCATGTGTTCCAGAATCTATTAAATTCTCTGTTCAATTACCAAACTCAATTAATACATGGATTTTGTAAAAAGAATTTAATACGAGCAGTTTAAGCATTCCTGAGCATCGACTGTTATAGCAAATCAAACTTGCAACCTAAATTTATTCTAGTGCTTCCCAACATGTTATAGAACTAATTAAAATTATTACATTAAACAGAAGTTACACAAGGAAGAAATTAAAACAAACAGTACACACGTTACAACTACAATCAGTTTTAAAACAACAGAGGTACAAGAAATCTAGTTTAATTTTAATCCTTAACAGTTCCCTGGAGTTGTGTTAGACATACAAAGTACACGAGGCAAAGGGAAGGAGTTAGGATTAGAACTTGCCTTTACACCGACGTCTTCCTAAATTCCTTCGGCGAACTTCCTACTTGCTCTCTCTCTGCCTCCACAGAACAACTTCACGTTTTGTTTATATTTCTTTAAACCCTAAACCACCGTGATATGCCTATTTATAACCTTAGACACTACACCCTAATCCATGTAACTATAGGTCCAGCTACGATTATAGTCGGCCCAACCAATTAATTTAAGCAATTAAAGTAACACAACTAAATAATAAAATTTAAACTATTTAATTAATCCCATTACACGTAAATCCTTAATGCCAATTAAATAATTAAAACACTTAACCTCATCCAATTAAAATAAAACACGCAATTAAAACAATTAACCAAATAATAATCAACTAAAATAATTAACCAATTCAACTAATGACAAGTAATCAATTAATCAATTAAATCACCACAATATAAAACTATTTAGCAAAAATCAAATAAAAGAAAACACTCAACAAATAATTAAATAAAACAATTAAGCAAGTAATCACATAAAATGCAACTAAATAATAAATTAAATTCCAAAAATATCCTTTTAAAATCAGGGATATTACACCGGCTCCCTATTACACCGGCTCCCTAACCTATGGAGCCGGCTCTTTAGTTGAGGGAGCCGACTCCCACTTCCATGGAGCCGGCTCTCTCCCCCTCTGAAAGCCCTGAACCCGTTTCCTCCTGTTCTACTCCTTCGTCCCCGTCTCCGGCAAGTATATAAACACCTCTGTAACTTTTTAATAGGGTTCCTAGGAGTTTAATCTATGCCCAAATTCATTCCAGAATAATTAAAAACACAGTATGCTCCATAAACAACAATTCAAAGTACATAGAACGAAACAATTTATGTGATAACCAGTTTCAATTCATAGTAGAGAATACACTTAAAAATTTGAATTAATAAACATACAAGTTCCGTTTTAAAGTCTGATTTAGTCCTGGAGATTATCTAAGCATGCACAGAACACAGGTCAAAGGAAAAGAGTAAGAAATAGAACTTGCCTCTGATTTCAGTTTTGAAACCTTAACGTCGTCTTCCTAATTTTTCCGGCAATCCGAGACTATTCTCAACTCCTCTACTGCTCCTGGTTCAACCCACAAGCAAGCTTCAAACACCTCTCATTGGTTCAACCCTTTCTCCTAGCCAAACCCTAATTCCCCCTCTCTCTGTTTTTCTCTCAAACCTCACTGTTCGTGAATAGGGTTTTTTTTTTAACCCTAGATATACGTATACTAATATATTTATAGGCAAATTAATTGTGACCTAATTCTATTCATGTGATGAGAAGGAAAAGAAAACACAGAATAAAAATATAAAATACATATATGTATATAAGTCGGCAATTTTTAATAAATATATCTTAAACCCTAAAACTTTATATTACATATATAAATATAATGATACTAATTTAATTATTAATAATTAAACTAACCCAATATACATATATACCCATATACACATGTATATCCATCCATGGGTAAAAACTGTACCCATTTACACTATCAAAATAGTCCGTTGATCCTATTCAAGCCCAACCCGTTTAAAAATAAAACTAATATATTTAATTTAACATTCAATTTCCATATAAGCATATAATTCAATTAAATCAAATAAATCAAGTTAAACAAATAATTATATTCCACATAATCAATTTAAACAAATAAATCATGTAGACAATTAACCAATTAACAAATAGCCAAGTAAACAACTAAAGAATTTAAAATTGCAATAAAACCATAAAAGAAAACTACCGAGACTATTCTTTTAAAATTAGGGGTATTACATTTTAATACACTATTTTTAGTTTTACTATTCACAGCATAAAGCTGTTGGTGCTCGCGCGCACTCGTATCACGCGCGTCGCGCAGGTCATGCACCCGCGGCGCGCGCATGGGGGCTGCCCTCAGCCTTTCCCTCAACCGCGATGACGCCCATTTTTGTTTTCACTCGTTCTCCTTCGTCCGTCCTCTGAATCAAGTGATTTTTGAGTTTAAATTTATTAGTTTTTCGTTATCTATCCAACGGTATGCTCAGTAGCACCTAAATCTTTTTGAAAATTACCATTTTTCCCCTAGGGTTAAACTTGTCCATTTTTAAAACTTTTGCTTCCGCTTTGTTTTCTTTTGAGTCCTGTGACTTCCTAGGAAGTCACATTGACGTCTTAGGGATGACGTACATCTCCCGAGGCTTTATTTTCGTGTATAAAGACCATTTTGCCCTTGGGTGGTATACTTGGTCTATTTTTAATCTTTTTCTTCCGCGTTCGTTCTCGTTGAGTTTCGTGGCCGCCTCATGAAAGGTCACTTTAGCGTCTTAGAGATGTATTGCATCTCTAGGGACTTGATTTCTAGTTTCGCTTCCGTAATTCGGGATCCGTTATCGGGTTAAACTTTGGTTCATCACAGGATATACTGGCTTGAAAAACCAAGGCCATCACAAACCACGACCCTCTTTCCATCGATTTGGAAACAATTTAGACTAAATCATACATAATCAAACCCAATCGAACCCCACAAATTCACTACCCCGCTCTTGTTACGACTTCTTCTTCTGAGTTCTGCCTTCTCCAGCATGCAATTGCTTCTTCTCCTACGCTTCTTCTGAAAAAAAATTCATTGATCTGCAATTTACACAAACACACGACACAGAGAGAAAGAAGGTGAACACTATTTTTTTAATTTTTTTTCAATCATGCGCTTTGTGAAGAAGATAAACAGTAATTTAAAACTTTATATATATATATACACACACACACACACACACATAAGGGCGTGTTTGGGTTCTGTGGGTTTAATAGTTACTACAGGGGGCATTAGTGTCTTTTCATGTTCACAAGGGTACTATAGTCAAAATTATAGTGTATCTTATGTGCCATCACGTGGTCACTTTAAGGATAAGATCCGATTAGAACAGTGACGGATCCAATCGGAACAGTGATGAATGGGGCAATCTGCAACAAAATTGCATAGTTCAGGGAGTTAGTTGTAATTTTAGTAGTTCAGGGGTTAGTTGCTGATTCCCCAATAGTTTAGGGTTTTTTTTTGCATTTTACCCTATTATTTATTTTAAAAGGTAAATTGAATGTATAAATGTAAGTAAACAGTACAGCCCATAAATGGGTGGGTTTGGCACAAGGCAGTGACTGGCCCAAGCCAATTTCAAAACATTGGAACTAAGCCCAGTGGATTTGGAAACTAGATTTTCCTTCCGCCCATTGCAAATGGAGTTAAGTTTGGGAGCGTACCTGCTATCGATAGTCTTAGACGATCAACAATGAGGTAATGGCATAGTCTAAGTAAGCATAAATATGAGTGAAGAAACCATGTAAATTTTCTTCAATATGTGGATTGCTTTGCTCTATACTAGGCTCTCCTAATCTTTCCTCATTGATCTTTTTCACATAAAAATCTTGTGTGTCCTCAACTAGGAGGTGATGTAGATATATCCATTGAATGGAGAATCTTCAACTCTACATTTCCTTTAAACTCTTTGGTGTGAATATCATTACTCATTTTAATATTATGCTCCATGAGTTAGGTTAACCTAAATTCTGTACTAAGGACTATAAGTTCTGTTTGTAAGTAATCTAATCACTCTTTAGGATTTCCAGCCCTACTGAGACAAATGATAGTCCAAACACCATCTTCTCAACTTAGCAAACACCACATTCTCTCAATATGATGATAATGGTGGGAAGAGTACTTCTTACACACTATGTTGTTGTACCAATCCAACCCCTCAACCAAGTATCAATCCATTTCAATGAACAATTGAAGGAACAATATAAACAATATATTATTAACACAAGCTTGATTGTTCCCAGAATAAGAGAGAAGAAATTTATTTAGGCTACAGATTTGTATCTGCAGATAACCTTACACCTAAGTACTCTGTCATGTACATAAAACCCTGGCATTACCATGATCTTAACGCGGCTTGGACCATGCGATTTTTGTCTATCCATGAATATATCCTCCATGTAATGGGGATCAAAGCTTCTATTCTCTTCAACCCTTAGAATTCCCAGCTGTGGATTGAATGAAAATGCAAGCAAATGGAGCAACCATATGCATTTGGCAGCAACGAAAAACGATTGAAGGAGCTGTTCAGGCCATGGTCTTGTCCACTTCAGTGTTGTAATGATGCAACTCATCTTCTGATCACAAAACTTACTGAACTCTTCACTGTAATACTTGGTTCCTTTCCTTACCACTTCGTTCCAGCTTAGATTTCTCAGCCCGACAAATGATGAAAACTGAGCATGGCGATCTTGCTCAGGGTCTAAAAGCTTTGGTGAGCCATTCTTCAGGAACACACAGTTCTCAAAGTCTTGGTAGAGTGATTGGTTTATGATAGCCTCCACATGGTATAAAACTGCCTTGGAGTACTTTGAATTTAGAGACAACTTGTAAGGTTCAAGGAGTAAATTCAAGTTCTCCACTAGAGTGATATCAGTTTCTTCAATCTGGGCTACAAGTGTCTTGCAAAATTGCTTCACTGATAACCTTGCTTCTGATACTACCTGCAAGAAACCCTCCACCATTCCTTCCTCGCTAACCGGTTCCAAGTTTTCTCCATTCCCACCAATGGACTTCCCTCTCTTATGAAGATTTCCAAGCTTTTCGGAAACTTTGAAATCGTTTGATTGTGCTACTTGTCTTGAGGCCATTTTCAGCTCTTCACAGTGAGTCTCTAAGTACTCCAACTTCTCTTTTAGCTCCTCCAACGAAGATTTCATCTCCGCGACCTCCATTAAGGCTGCATCCCTACTCTCATTTGCTTCCATAAGCTCTCTCTTCAATGTTTCAACAGACATGATCCCGAACTGCTTTAAATTTTGGGAAACTTCCTCCCATTCTGTTCGGTTTGGCGAGTTCTCATTCTTGTTCTTCTTCTTTAGCCGAGGAAACAACCATGAAAGATTCAAACCGCGGTTCTTCTGTTGCAGCTGAACAGAAGAGTGTGAATCTGTTAATGGCACCACAATATTAGAGTTCTTGCTGTTCTTGGCTGCAGTATTGGTTTCACTAGTTATAATTGCTGGCTTGCATTTGTTGCAAGAAGAGACTGATCTGAAGTCACCCAAACTGTTTCTTCTGCTTGACTTGTATAAATTTGTTCTGGGAGATGTTTTAAGCACAGTAATGTGATTTGAACCATTGACAGATTTCTGATCTTCAGCAGGACATATATGGGGCTCTGAATTGACAGAAGGAGAGGGAAACCCCTTCATTGAAGATGCATTCGGCTTTATATAATCCGTTTGGATGTTTTCGTCACCATTTCCTCCTCCTAGGTCATACTCATCCCAACAATCTGTTAAACTCTCTAATTGAATTTGTTGATACCCCGGCAATGGTTCATCTTCATAACTCTGTCAAAATGTTCCTGAAATCAGTGAACTTAACGCGAAAATGGAAGAAGGCACAATTTTTTTGTGTGCTTGTTTTATTAAAGAAGAAGTTAACTGCTTAATTATTGCAACTAAAATCCAACTATTTCGTTTCTTACAAAATATTTCAAGATAACAAGGTTTGAGTCAGTAGGGTTGAAGATTTCTTTTGTTATTTTAATGATTCAAACCAATCAGCTTACAAACAGAAACTGAAGAACACATGAGAAATTGGAACTTTGAAAGTATAATTTCATTATAGTCAATGAATAGCAAAACCCAACAAGAGTAATATGCAAAAATGATTAAATAATTCCTGGAAGAGTTGAAAACATCAATGAACAAGCAAAACCAAGAAGAGAGAGGTCATGCTTACTACAGTAAATGAGATTGCATTCATAAATTTTGTAATAAATGAGATTGAACTTACGGGTTCTACTCATTCAAAACCAAAAATCTTGAGAACCTCTATTAAATGCATAATTAGTATTTTCTATCCACACAAACTTTTTACTTTGAAAAATCAGGAAGTACCATTAGGCTACGTCAGCTTTGGTAAAGAATAGAGTAGATTGAGGTTACAATAAATAAACATATATATACCATACAATAAATAAACATATATATACACACACATATACCATTCAACATAAAAAGAAATGAGTCATGACATAAGAAAAACATAAAAAGAATTAAATTATATCAATAATTAGAGCTCTCACTGGTGTAAAAACAGGGTAATCTTGGGCTGAGAACTGAGGAGCAGAGTGTGAAACAGGGGAAAAACCGGGGAAGCCGAGATTGACCGGGCTCTTTCCCTGCATCAGAACAGCATGCAGAGCTCTGAGCTCCACTGCTTTGGCAATGGCTTCTTGAATTTCTTGCCTTCCAAATTCATTGTTATTCCCAGAGTGATTGCTGTTACAGTTTTCGATGTTTTGAGCTATGGTGGCAGCCATGAACAGAGGAAGGAACAGAGAATATGTGTAACATATAAACACTCAGATAAAGAACATCAAGAAAAAAATATCATTTAGTAGCTGAGAAAGTGTTCAAAGAGAGAAAATCAGTATCAGAGGTTGAAAAAGTGGATACCCAACGGTTGGATTTAATTTTCACAGAAGTAGATTACATTTTATCTATTGAAGGATTCTGGAGAACCAGAAAAAATGGAGAGAGAGAGAGAGAGAGAGAGATTTGAGGAATTTCAAATTCAATGAGTTTTTTTCTTTGTTTTCAATGCATCAATAGAATGAGCACATGTGAAGGAGGGAGAGAAAGGGAGAGGTTGAAGAGAAACCTAATCCAATGAGCTTTTTGTCTTTGTTGTCAATGGTTTAGTGGGGATAAGTTCATGGAGAGAGAGAGGTTTTACAGTTTTACTCCATGAATTGTAATTACCAAAGTACCCTTGGTTCCCTAAAAGGGAGGGTTTTACAATTTTACTCTATGCAGTTATGGCTAAGTTGTAATTACCAAAGTATCCTCAATTCCCTAAAATTACCAAATACATCTACATTTATATTCAGTGGTATTGTTTACTAGACAAGGATCCTCTCCGGCGCTGGAAAGGTCCAACACAGAATTCAATAGTTGAGATTGAATTGATAAATGAGATCGACTAATAATGATGCAATTTCAACCACTAAATTCTGTGCTGAATTTCTCACTGGAGAAGATCCTTGTCCTTGTTTACTTAATTTGTTTAGTGCCATTATTTCATTTTCATGATCACTATTCAATGCTGTTAGAATTAATTATAGATCTTAATGGACTGCATTTTAAGTGGTGCTATCATTACATTTGTACATGAACAGGAGACTGTTATTATGTAAAAGTAAATGGTGCAATTCAATTTAAGGGGACATTCAAACATGCACTAAGAAAGTGTGTCCACTACAATTTTTCAAAGAAAAAGTTGTTCAATTGATGAAATTGTCCATAAAAATGATGTTGTTCTAGACCCTTTATTCTAACTTTAATAATGTGTATTTATTAGATTTTTCAAAAGAATATAATTGCTTAATTGATGGAAAATATTGATGAAAAGCACTTTTAAAAGTGTAGAAACTTCTTCTTTTTAATTAAATGTGCTTAAGCAAATTTTGTGAAGTGCCAATATTACCATCATGTCTTTGGTCAAGTGGCATCTCCTTTCTTTTCATAGTAAAAGTTAGAGAATTTAAGTTTTTTCAAAAATATTGTGAAAGTTCTCATCAAGAAGATTAAAAATTTAAATATAAATATGTGAATATCATTTCCTTTCTGTAAAAGTACTGGGTACAAGTTAAGAATAACCAAACTGTGGATGGTAGCATTTCTAATATTTCCTTCAACTTTAGGAAGTAGATTCATGTACTAGGATGTCACTGTATAGAATCATTGCTGACCACATGATAGATAAAAGTGATACACTTGCAATGCTGGTAAAGTCTAGCTCCTATAAAGATGGATTATAAAGTTTAACAAAGTTAAATTATCAATTAAAAGAGCATAATTATGACAAAATTTACCAAATATATGGTGACATGTATCTAAGTGAGGAATAAAATTTATACACTATGGACACTTTTTACGGTATTCGTTTAATTATTTGAAAACTTAACGATTACACACATTTAAAAGTATGCACTTGTGTAAGAGGGATAAGTCTCACCACAAGGATGGAACAATTTTTCTTTTAATGATAAAAGCAAATTTTGTAACGATGAAAAGGAGGCAATTGAAAATTGAAAATTTTGTATTGATGACAGGGAGGGAAAACAAGGGCTGGGAACAAAAGCCAATGGAGTAACCATTGTTATCACAAGATGTACGGGTTTAGATTTTTTATATATCTATACACACATTTGTTTGTATTGATCTGCCAAAAAGGTTTGAAAAAGTAGGAGGAGAATGGTGGGGTAATTTCGCCAATTGAAAAATACTTAGCTGTCATGATGCAGATTTTGCCAAAGTGGGTGAGCTGGAGGACAAAGAAATTCCAATTTCTTCCAAGCTCTTCCATTGTCTTGTCTTTCCCCAAACACTGGATCTACAGGTTGACACAGTGGGGACCAAAAGGGCCCCAAATTACAAAAGTGCCCATCTAGAACTTCCATGTGTCAGAGTATTAGAGAGGGGAATATCCTAGGACAAGGGTAATTTGAGAAAAGACATTTATTAGATTTGTTTATTGTGTGGACTTGTAGTTGTTCCTTTTAAATTATGTAAAATGGAATTCCATAATAGAATCATGGAATGTTTAATATGAAGCTTCAGTGCTTCCCATAACTATTTGTGGGGAAAATCATTATAATATTGAAACCAACTTTGTGGAACCAACCACCCCACCAAAAAAAAGCAAGCACGTTTGTCAACCTACACATGCAAAAAGTTTTCTTTTCCTTTCTAATTAACACTGTGGTAAGAAAATTATATTTTTAAACCAAGAACAAACTCATAAAAATAAGTCGGTAATTTTTTTTTAGTTCTTTTTATTTTTATAAGACTGCATGCTAATATTACCGCATTTAGGGGTACTTGTCTGGTCTTATGGTATGATCAGATTGACTCACAAGTAGGAACGAATCTAAAAAGTTGTGGGAGGGGAGCACCCCCCCCCCCCCCCCCCCCCCCCAATGTCTTTGTTTCTGTCCTTGAAGACCCTTCTTATGTTTATGCATCGTCCTTGACTAGATTAGTCATCTTCTGTAAAATGAAACTAAAAGTTACATTAATATTCAGTCTTTTTCTATGATGGTGGATCCCTAACTACATCATGTGGGAGTCACCACTGTCTCAGTAATCCAATAATTCGGAGTCTGTTTAGTTTGTAATTCTGAAAATAGTTCACTAGAACTTCGAAAACGGATAATTATTATCAAAGAACAATCTATCAAACTGAGTTTTTTGTACAACTTTTCAGTTTTCAGTTTTATGAGAACAGAAAATTATTTATATAGTTACAAACCAAACAGGCCTAGATGTCACAAAATTTTGAATTTTTCGATTAAAATAGACCTCTTATACGAGCAACTCAAATCACTCCCTGGCATTATTGATTTTTACAAAATGAATTATTTCAATCAACTAGATATAATTTACGTTACATAAAGTGGGAGGGGAGTAAGAACGAATTTGAGAACGGAAGCGCAAAAGTGATAAAATTAAATTATAAATAATGAGAATTGAAACGAAACCATGCGTAGAGTGTGAAAATAAAAATATGTTCATATTGTGAGACTGACAATTATCGGAAAAGACTGTGTATGACTTAAATAGATCCATATGAGAAGCTTTTTAATCCTTGTATTTGCATTAAATTAGGATAACCAAAGCCTACTTTTGAATCCCAATGAATATGGAACATGCCACGACCCTTGTTGCTTTGCAACGTGCTCCAATTATGATGTTACAGGTACTCCCCAGCTTTAAATCACTAATTAAATGTAGGTCATTGATGGCTCTATCTTAGGCAATAAAAACTATAGGCAGCTTTATATTCCCTTTCATTTGAATTTTTTGTTAGATATAGATTGATCAGAATCAATATTTTAAAAAACCCTATTTGGATTTTTAAGTGTCTGTTTTTAGAATATCTATTAATTTTATTTTCAATCATTTTGAAAATATGTAAACATGTCCTGAACAAAGAACCTACATCTGGTGGAATATATTATGAGTGGTCTTTTGATTCCATGTTCACTATTCCCCGAACAGTTCCAAACAAAGCCTCAATATTTTTATCTAATTGTATTTGATAAATAATATTGTATTTAAATTATACATTGAATGTATAATTTTTTGTTTTTTCTTTTCCTTGACAAGAAAAACACACTCAAATATCCACTTATTCGTATAAGATTTAAACCATCAACCTTAAATCGACCTTATACTTTGAAAGGTTAAAAAGTACCAATGAACTATAATATTTGACGATAAAAATTATATTTTTCGCATAATATTATTAATAGGGTTTTCAAATATAGTTTTTTTTTTTTTCCCTTTTTATCAGCTAGAATGGTATGCAAACATAATTTTTTACAGACTTGCCAAAGTAGTAAATTCAAGGGTTCAAGTCCCCACAGATAAAAAAATAAAGAATAATGATAAGAAGACTGATAAATTAATCTTGAATAAGTATCGAATTTAACATGTTTTTGTCCACCTCATCTACTTAAACAGTATATAAAAAATAGTGTAATTTGGTGTATAAAAAAAATAAAAAATAAAAAACATGTATGAGCTAAAAAAAATAATAAAAGAAAGAAATTAACCATTTTAATGCAAGCTATATGCAAGTGCTTCTCTAGTCACGGAGCAAGATCAATATTATGCTACTATGAGGTCTACTTGAGCTCTATATTTTTTTGTCACGATCATGTGCAAATATTATAAGGGGGGAACTAATGGTTTGAAAGGGGATTGTACGGGAATTATAAAGTCAAAATTTTGTACTAAAAATTATTTACAATAAATCAGAAGAATCAATCAAAGTTATATATATATACACCAAATTACACTTTTAACTTACATCGAGTCGCATAATTTTCTTTTATTATATTTTAAACTGATTTTTAATTTTATTTATTACAATAAGACCATTTTCATATTGTCAATGTCATGACGAGGGGTGTACACGGTTCGATTTTTCCTAATTTGGTAGTTTTTTTGGAACCAAACCATTCCTAGTGGTTTTAGAAAATCTAAAACCAAACCGAACCATTTGACCAAAGGAACCGAACCAAACCAAACCTTGAAACACCGGTTCGATTTTGTTTTATTCAACGGTTTTTTTTTTTTTTTTTTTTTTGTTACAGAAATATTCATATTTCAAAATTCAAATGTACAACAATAAACCAAGTTAACCAACACATTTAGAACAATTAATACATTCACTTCTAGAACATAAGTTAATAAATTCAAAATTGCTAATATATTCATTCTTTTCTGTACTTCTGGAACTAAAATGAGTTAGTGAACATCCTCGAAACTGGTAATAACCTAATACATTTTAAAGTACTAATTCAACAACAAATACCACAATTCATAAAACCAACAACATTCAACCACTATAGAATTATATTACATTATATTATATGTATATATATATATATATATATAACTTAGCGGTTCGATTTGGTCATCTCGAACCGTCACCAAATCACGTTTTCACAAATTTAGAACCTCAAACTGTGATCAAACCATATTTTTACGTTTTAAAAAATTTAGAACCGTGACCGAATCAAATCGGTAGTTAACCAAACCAAATTGTACGATTTAATTCGATTTAGTTTGAATTTTAGATTTCACCGAATTT